TAAACTGTACCAAAAACATAATAAATTTCAAATGGAGAACAGTAAAGACTTAGGATTTAAATACCTACAATCAACAAATCTCTATCCTTTCAGAGATGTCTTAAGTAACAGTAATTTACTTATTGAGAACTATGAATAAGATGTACTGGCTACTCACATGAAGCCTGTACATGTCTGACACCATCAAAAACCCCTACCAGTATGTATATACAATATTCGGGCTGATTTCCCTCCTGGGTATCCATGTTTGTTTTGGCAAACACATAAACAAGGGAGTCTGATGTAATTCCACCTTAGACAGGAGTAAGGAAAGGTAAATGGGCTGAACCCTGAAACCCAAGAAGGTGTTCTATTTGTACTATATACTCTCTAGCCAGGTAATTCCATTTTACAGTTAAAATATCACATGGCATACTTCCAGTGATTGCCTGTGTTTCATCAATCTTTGTGGTAATTTCTTTTCAATTTGGATTTTAAAGTACTTCTAGGAAAAAGTCTGGTGTTTAATGAGCTGCTTTGATTCCTTTGTCTGATCCGAATTGTTACCAGCAGATCAGCAGATGATGCCAAGTATAAAAAAAACATGTCCTAAGCAAGTGACATAGACCCAAAATCTTAATTGTACTTAGACCCCTTCTGAATGTCTAGCATGATATGGTTTGACACATGGAGTTTCACTTTCTGTTACTGTTAATTTTTCACTTTCTATATATGGATGATTATTTTGTTCTAACAAAAATAAGATGAAATGTTTCAAAGGAAACCTGGACAGGTGATAATATTAGGTACAGGGATTTTAAGACATTCTAATGGCCTCATGAAATAATAATATATCAAAAATACAGAATGAGGAAAGACTGTAATATTCATATTAATGCATAGTAGGAAATCATTACCAGCTAAATGAGAGCTCTAATGTAAAATATGGAGAAAATCAGGTGTTATCTGATTTCATATTTGAGCATTAGAAAGTCTCATTTACAAATCAATTCTCTATGCCATCTGTATGAGACCATCTTAATTTGGCATAACATTATTCTGCCTGTTATACACCTGCTTGTTCTCTGATTATAGAAGAAAAATAGCATTTTTCTATCATAATAATCCTCACAACTTTTAAACTAATAAAAATACTGAAATAAAAATAATAAAAATAAGCTTTATGACAATAGGATTCAGATACTTCAGAAAAATAAGACGGGGGGCCCTCCCTGGTGACACAGCGGGTTAAAGCACTGCACTAAGAAGCTAAAGCCACTTCCTCATGAGTTCAATCCCCGCCTGTCCCGGAGGAGATCCACATGGTGCGGCAGACCTCTCCTGACCTGCCCACTGCTCCCCTCAGCAGTGTACTTCGTAAATCTGCCTGTTCTGCTCCCCACTCTGTCCCTGGTGAATCCTCTCACCCTCCACATCTCTGGCGGTATCCCAGCTCTGTATGAATAAATAAATAAATCTTTAAAAAAAAAAAAGAAAGAAAGAAAAATAAGACAGGGAATTTAGATTGCTTTGGCTACTTTTAATTATTCCAAACCATGCCATTAAAATATAGCAAATTTGTTTTTGAAAGGAAACTTCTGGAAAAGTCATTATAATAACATGGAAGTGGAAGGACACTACATGAAACACAGGAAAATTCTATCTCATCATGGTAATGAGTTCACACTTCTACATTCTAGCTATCAGCCAGAGACAGCATCAATTAATCTTTTTTTTTTATGAACCTTTATTTTCAGTTTTTCATGCAGTTTTTAAAGTGCACAAGAAAAAAATAATGAAGGAAGAAATTTAGATTACCATGGTGATTCTTTTAAACTCAATGATCAACCGATAAATCACTGGTAATTGTAGAGAACTAATGCAAATTCTAGTTTTCAATTTAATTATGCTAGCCATATCTCAAAACATTAATACAAATAGTTTGCGAAGGGGAAAAAATAAACTACCATCCTTGTAATATACCACCCTAGAAATTGGTTGCATCCATTTAATCATCATAAATATTTATAAAATGGTCAAAGACCTCACGCTTTTGAGTCAGGTCTTAAATGATTAACTGCTAAAGTTACCCATTTCTCTAAAAGTGATAATATGCTCAGGAAAAAAAAATCATTAGTTAATAGTGAATATTTATTTCACAATGCCATATTAGTAACAGACACATTGTATAAGCAATTAAAATTGTACTAAAATTTCAGTTAACATTGACACTTTTGTGATGACCTTATTCCAGTGCCTATCCAGAAATATATCAAGGAAGATAAAACTTTAACAGATGTTTTTCTGGAAGTTAGCACAAAATTACCATAGAATATGTCCTGCTTTGCTATGAAATGATGAATTATGTGTTATTCCAGTTGTTTTCCTGCTTCTCTTTTCACTTCAATTTTGCTTCAAATTCTATCTGACTCATGCAGTACAATAGTCTCTATGTTTTAGATGTATGGCATCTCACATTTTTACAAAATACATATGTATAGTATAAACAGAGATATGTACATTTTGGAACAAAAGGCACACGTTTAGAATACTTCCATATACTGTTATGTTGCATTGAACTGAAACCAGAAGTCAGAATTAGTAAGTTTAGAAGCAAAAGCAAGTGATCACTGTGCTGTCCTTCAAAATAATTCTGTATTTATCATTTTACTTACTTAATGACCTATAAAGTATTTGGCCAAATAGAGAGCTTCAGACTTGTTAAAGGAATATGCTCTTTTAAAGATAATAGCTTATCTCACCTGACTTTCATATATCCTTCAATTTGGATGAAACAGTTGTAAGGTCTTATTTTAGTACAACTGTTGTTTTTTAATTAACATCTAGCACAGCATTATGAACAGCTGTTAACTTAGTAAATATTGTTCTAATGTTCTTCATTTTGCATTCATAGATTTAAGTGACAATAAATATCACCACATGAAAAAAAAATATGTTAATACATCAACTAGAAATACCTGCGGGGCATGTGTCATTATGTCATAGTCAGATTTCTTTACAAATAATGTCACCTGCAGAGCAGATCCTAAATGTAACTCTGAAGGGCTGTACTGTCTTTAGACAAATGGAAAAGAAAAGCCAGTGCATAATTAGGTAACCAACATCGTAATAAGGGCTGTCTGCCTCTATGAACTACAATTCAGATGCCAAAACATAGGCATTAATAAGCTGCATTCTACTTATTAACTCCCGATATCTTCAGAGAGATACGACTATTATCTTCAATATGAAAATGGTGATAAACATCAAATGTATAAATGAGAACATCTGAGATGGTTTTATGTAAAAAAGGAGAGTAAAGATATTTTTTGTTATGACATATCAATGTTATTTGCTGGGTTTGAAGACAGGCAGATTAATAAGTTCCTTTATCTTTTGAAATTTTTTCCCCCAATGTAACTACTAAATGCTATATCCATTAATTTTGAAGCAAAATGCATTGATCAAAAAAATTTAAAGACCTCTATCAATTAAACAGTGAAAAAGGATATATATGTGTATGTATACACACACACAAATATGAATAACAAAAATGAGAAGTTCGATATTGATTCTATTTGTTTACAATTTTTTTAGAGTTTCTAAAAATCCCTACATCCTAAACTGTGCAACATAACTGACCACCATAAAAATCATCAATAAACAATTGCAACTTATTAAGAAAAAAAATTCCGTAGAAAAATAGATAATATAAAGGAATAGGCAACTTATAGTAAATACTTGCAAGTGGCAAAGAAACATTAAAAAAAATTCATTGTTACTAGCAGTCAAGAAAATAGCAATATAAAGAAGTAATTTTAATCATCAGAATGGAAAAAAATTTAAATGATTAGGTTCAGTCAATGCTAGCATGAGTAGATTTTATTAAGCAATTTATAAATCTGCAGGCAAATATTCCAGTCAAATTCTTTAAAACTGAAATGTCTCTTATAAATAACAAAGGGATATACAAAGGGAGTAATGTAAAAAGTTTATTATTAATAATAATAATTATTATTATTAATTATTCATAACATCATTCTAGAAAGAAAACAAGGATCCATTAATAAAAATTTGGAAATTATGGTGAGTATGTAGCATACTAACAATCAACTATTAGAGTGCATTATGTGAGCATTTTTGAAAGGATATTCATGATATATTTTAAGTGGAAAAAGACTGTATTAATATATAAATTATTTTATAAAGCAGACAACAACAAATGAGTAAGCAAACACACAAAATACCACAAGAACACATACACCTCCAGAAGCAAAAGGGAAAAGTATAAGAGAAAAAATACTGCAGTGATGAGGATAAATAGCTTTACTTCAGATATCCACAGTTCTCAATTGGTTGTCATGCTCTTCAAATATAGTCATTTGAATCATAAAATGGGAGCCATGTTATGAAGCTTTTAAATACAACTTCGATATCATTTAACTTCTTAGCATATGCCAAGAAAGGGTTTCCTGTTTTAAGTTTGAAATATTGGAATGATTTCCCAAGATGCTAGGTTACCATGTTAAACTTTTTAAAACATTTAGTTCTTTTGACAGATAGTAACCCAGTTTGTAGTAAAAGAAATGGAAGACAGCGAAAGGAAATAGAATTGTTTTTATCAACTGTACATACAAATGAAAGCATATGCACTATGAGCTCAACATAACATTGTTTGCGAACATAGTAATATTTTACACTGAAACCAACTGGCAATTTGGTCTGGGGTTCCAAGCTGAAGTTACTAATTGAGATTCCCCTCTACTGAAAATAATGTTAACAACAGGATTCCACAGGATCTGATTCATTACTGGCAAATGTTTCTCCCTGAAGAAAAAATAATATAATATCTAAACAATAATACTCTAGGATGTCTAGTCATTAAATGAAGCAACAACAGTTGACTTCAATATTACTTTTCTTTATAAAAAATACTGAGGTTATGGTAAAGACATAAAACTGTGGTTCAAAAAATACACAAGAGGAAAGTTAACCCTTGGTTGACAAAGACCTTTTCCTACCTTCACATTATCTGGATGCAGCCCTCCAGGGTGTTTGTCCATGTACTGACACAAATCAGTGTGCTGGAAGGAAAGAGGAAAAACATAGTCACATCCATATTCACATCCTTCTGGCTATAACACAATTAATCAATACTTTTCTACTTCAAAAATACCATTACCTTTTCAATGAAGCGAATCTAACATAAGTGGGTGAAATTTTATATACAGTCACATGCTTCTCTACCACCCATTTTAAACTACAAATGAAACATTTTCTTTACTTCTAGAATATTTTGTGTTAAACACATCTGTGTTTTAGAAGGAACTCATGTACATGATACATTAAGAGCCTAATTTCCTCCCTATTGTATAAATATTTCTTAACAAAAACCACCTAACTAGAAATGTACCTTAACAAAAGAAAAATAAAGTAAAACATAAATGATTAGCCAACCCAATTAAAATTTTAATTATCACTTTCCAAATAGAATTGCATTCTATCATTTTTATGTTATATGATCTAAAAACATTACAACCAGATCATTATAATACAATGAATCATTCTATTTATGTAACTTTATTCATGAAACAGGTTTTCAGGTTTCCTGAAATCCTTAATATGTCTAATTAAACATGTATACTTTATAAATTAGTGGAAATACAATGAAATTATAAATTAAGACAAATACATTCATTCATATACAGCTCAAAAGACATATGGCTACATAAAGTCTTATACTGTTTTTTAAAAAATATCCCAACCCATTTTGCACACGACTGCATTATTCTTCTTAATGCTTTTTCCACTTATGTTACGAATTTTGAATAAAACATGTAGAATTGTTATTCAAACTTTTATTATAAGATACTAAAAATTTGTAACATTTAAACAATCATTCCGTAAGTTACTGAACATGGTTATTTTTGTCCACATTTCACTATTGAGGAGTTACAAGTGCATGTAAGACATGTAAAAATTTTGATGTAGTAGTAGTTAGGATTCCTGTACTGAGTTTTTATCACTTGCCAGGTGGTAACTATTGATGATATAGAGCTGAAATTAACATTCATTCATTCATTATTCATCATGTGTTCCTCTTATTATGATCCAAACACTACACTAGTGCTAAAGGACACAGAATTAAATGAAATTGATACAAATGAAAACAAGAAAAAGAAAAAAAAAGATATTAGTAATTATAGAATATGCATCATATTACTTTAAGAACAATAATGGATAATATTTGAAGATAGAAGAGGTGGAACCTAGAGTTATGTATTGACTAGATGGCTCAAAAAGGCCTGGGAAAGAAGGTTCTTAAAGAAATTAGTAAACTGAAGGGCACAGAAGAAATGCTCTCAGATAACATTCTGAACCAATATTGCCTTTATTTTTCAAGTATAACCACAGTGTTTAACTTCCAGTCAAAATCAAATTCCATGGGGGCAGAAAATGTTTGACTTAGGAATACCTCTCTTGTCCAATCAACATGTCCAATCACAGATGAGAAACAAATACAAGTGGAAAAAGTTATAAAGCATAACTCAATAAAATGGCCCTAATTATGTTGTAAAACATAATTACAAAACAGTCTTAAAAGTTTTTAGGAAGTAGGGCCCTTCCTGTGGCTCAAGGGTTAAGTTGCATCACACTGAAGCTATCTGAAGCTACTGAAGCACAAGTTCAATCCCCAGCCAGGGAGGTGACCACATGGCACAGGAGACCTCTCCTGTCTAGCAGACCTCTCCTGTTTTGCCCACTGCTCCCCTCAGTAGAGTTTTTCAGGTTGATCCACCTGTTCTGCTCCCCACTTGTCTGTGGTGAATTCTCTCAACCCTCCCGCTCCACACCTCTGGTCTGTACCCCAGTTCTTATATGCATAAAAGAATAAATTTTTTTAAAAGATTTATTTATTTGTGCATACAGAACTGGGTTACAAGCCAGAGGTGCAGGGATGGGGAGAGGCTTCACCAGAGACAGAGCGGGGAGCAGAACAGGCAGATCGACGAAGCACACTGCTGAGGGGAGCAGCGGGCGGGTCAGGAGAGGTCTGCCACGCCATGTGGTCACCTCCGGGGCAGGCGGGAATCAAACTCATGCGGAAGCGGCTTTAGATCTCAGTGGTGTGCTTTAACCCGCTGTGCCACCTGGGAGGGCCCTAAAAGAATAAATTTTTAAAAAAAGTTTTTAGGAAGCAAAACTTACATCCTCTCACCTCAACTAAACAAAGTTAACATCAAAGTATACTATATTTTATCAGCTCTAAGACATACAGTTCTTTGTAACCTATCACACTGGAATTAATAGTAGCTTTAATCTACTGTTACAGAAGCAGTATAGTTGTCACTATGACTAAGTAAATGATTTACATTGTTCTAGTTATAGAATAATTATTCTGATGGTATGAGTCATAACAAGTAATATAAGGGTCATCTGAAGGAGAAAGACACAGATGAGATATAATTGTTATCCAACTGCTATTTGAAAGGAATTCACTAAAAGTTTCTGGTAACATTTTGTGCAAAATTTAAACCACCACATTTAAACTGCAGGCCTCCTTCAATAAGGGCACATTTTAAAAATATGGATAAAAGGAAGCACTCAATTGTAAGTTAATCAAGCATTTTTTTTCTTTCTTAGTAGGTAAAATAACACTTCTTTAGGTAAATGCAGTCTTAAATTTAATGGTAGCAAAATACAAGGGAGAAAGATGAAAAACAATTGAAGAAAGGAAGTAAGAAAAAGAAGAAAAAAAAGAAAATACTTTCTTGGAAATAAAAATTTTAATGATTTTTAAATTATGACAATGATACTACATAGACTTTAAAGCATTAAGTAGTTACAGTATTAGCAACAGGAAAGTTGAGCTTGTTAAACATATGAATGGAATGACTGGAAATTCTTAAAATTAACAAATAAATGGAATAGTGCTGGTTACAAAACTTTTATGGAATTATATATTACACAGATTTATTAAATACTAATTGTGTATAAATAAATATCACTTATTCTCAGGGAGGTCATATCCTATGTATTTTCTATACCTGTGAATTTTAGAAAAAAATTTCCAAGACAAGTTGGAAGCTTTCAATCCTTTTTGTTTAACATGAAAAAATACAAGGCTGAGGAAGGAAGCACTGTCAGGTATGGGGAAATGGGGGATGCTTAATCCTCAAGGAGGAGGAGGATGATGATGATGATGATGATGATGATGATGATGATGATGATGATGATGATGATGATTTTCTGTGAAGTATTTGGAGTAGGAAGAGATATTAGGGAGGACTGCAGTTAAAAATGAGTGGTAAATATAGAAACCTGAGATTCTTACAAGAAACATTTTTTTATGTGTTCTTCCTATGGTCCCAGAAATTCTCATTTACACTCCAATGCTCTCTGTACACTACCGCTGAGACTATGTCTAACAAATATACCATTAACCTCAGAATGCTTTGGATGGTTAAGGGAAAGAATCTGGAGTATCTCAGATGGAGCACAAGGTCCATTCTCCTCTAGTAAAATTATGTACTAAAATACCTGCATTAGAAATGGTTTTAGGCCCTCCCTGGTGGCGCAGCAGGTTAAAGCACAGCACTAGGAAGCTTAAGCCACTTCCTCATGAGTTCTATCCCCGCCTGCCCCGGAGGAGATCCACATGGCGAGGCAGACCTCTCCTGACCAGCCTGCCGCTCCCCGCAGCAGTGTACTTTGTAGATCTGCATGTTCTGCTCCCCTCTCGGTCTCTGGTAAATCCTCTCACCCTCCGCATCTCTGGCCTGTACGCCAGTTCTATATGAATAAATAAATAAATCTTTTTTAAAAAATGGTTTTAGTTCCCTCTCCCATTTTTAATTGCACAGTATGATGGCTGGGGCTACATTATATGTGTTCAAATTATTAATTTACTGACACCTCTTTGCTTTAACTTCTATCCTCAGTTCTATTCATTGGATGTGACTCTTAAGATTTTCTCTGGGCCAGACATGGATTCAAACTTAAAAATGACACTAGAGGCCCTCCCTGGTGGCGCAGTGGGTTAAAGCAGAGCACTGAGAAGCTAAAGCTGCTTACGCATGAGTTCGATTCCCGCCTGCCCCGGAGGTGACCACATGGTGTGGCAGACCTCTCCTGGCCCGCCTGCTGCTCCCCTCAGCAGTGTACTTAGTGGATCTGCCTGTTCTGTTCCCCACTCTGTCTCTGGTGAAGCCTCTCACTGCCCCTGAGCCTCTGGCCTGTACCCCAGTTCTGTATGCACAAATAAATAAATCTTTAAAAAAAAAAAAGACACTAGAAAATAACTGCTTTATCCTTCTATATTTTAAAGTCATCCTGGGTATAAGAGTTCTGAACAGCAGAGCTCTATAGCCATAACCAATACATTATTTTCCTATGATGAAACTTGGAAGATCTAAATTACATCTGGCTTGATCTCTGGCTGTTTCTCATTCTAGTACTAAAAGAAGAACCTTTAAGTACTTGGTAACTGCAGCTCCAACACAATTACTCAGCTCTCCAGTATCCATTCTCCACACTACTTTATTCCTCATCTCATCCTCCCACCACCCTCATATTCCCTCTATCAGTGCTGCTTTTCTTCAGGGTAAAGCTTTTAGAAACACTTGTGCCTGACAGGTTTATACCTGGGTATCCAAGAACACCTCATCAATCTTCCATGGAGTGGATGGATTCACATGAAGCTATCAAGTGTGGCTAGACTTACAGATCAAGCGCAAGGCAGAGTGAGAACAAAACGAGCTCCTAAGGGCTAATTCCAAACTGGAACCTATTTTCTTTAGAATCTGGTTCCTCCTTCCACATTGCTGATTACCCTTCAGGCAGCATTTATTAGGTTATTTACATAGGTGCAGGACTGTTTCTAGGGGAAAGAATTTGAAGAACGCGTCTGAACTCATAATACCCCTGAACAAAAATATTTCCCATGCAAGAATTTGCCACATTTTTAATTTGGGTTTCGCCATTTTGATTTGATTACTTTGTGGTTGAAACAATTTAGAGGCAGGAAAGAATTCTCCCTCTATTATAAAGACAGTGTTAAAAAAAAAAAAAAAAACAGAAAATC